ATAGGCTATTTGTGATCCTGATATTGCTGAGAATCCCTGTAATGTGTTCTTGAGAAGTCGTAGTTTTATTTATATTTGTCAGATCAGTCCGTCTAATCTCTTCATGTGATCTCATTGATAATTTGATACAACTTCACCTTTTTCTCAAGTTTTCATTCATTTTGCCGTTTTGATACATTAACACATTGGCTGTTAAGGGTAATTCCTTGACTGTTTTCCAAAAGAGATTTGCAGAGCCTCTGTAAAGGAGTACAAGTGATAGAGAAGAATTTTACTGTAACGATGCCCTGTGTAACTGTATACTTTTCCCGAAGGAAGGTTGTACCTATTATTTTAGCAATCTTACTGCTCTCTAAAATATGTTATGATGCCATAACTTCTGTCATTGCTCCCAAGTCACATCACTGGGTATCTCATCAAGCTTATGTTGTATAAATGTAGAGCAAAAAAATTGTAGGTAGATGGAGATGCTTCCCTTGATCTCTGTTTTCTAAAAGTTCTGGCCCTGTTTTTTGTGAGGATGGTATAAAATATATATATATATGATGCATTATGTTGGTCGAACAGCTTCCACCCTGAGGTGATTTATTTTTTAACTGCCCTGATTAACTGGAAAATACCTCACATCAAGAATGCCTTATAAAGGTCTGGTGGTCAGCTTTTTCAGCAAAAGCTCCATTTCAGTTTTATGCGCCCCAGACATTTTTTTCTTTCTGGACTCGTGAGACCATTCTGTAATTGATGTCCAGTCTCTTTTTGAGTGGGACGTTCATCGTGTGGCAGAGTGAGGAGAGGCAGCAGGGAGGAAAGTAAACACTTGTGAGCCGGCAGAGTAAAACCTTTGTAGGCAAAGAAAATTTTGGCCTCATGTTGGTTCCATCAGGCTTCTCTTTTTTTTTTTTTGTATTAAAAGTGTGTGTGTTTTGTACAGTGTATTTGTCTCTGTATGCAAACATTTTACACAGAGCTTTTATAAACCGTGTGACTCATAGCTAGCAAATCTGTGAAGAGGTGATAGTTACGTCGTGATGCCTAAGCACAGATGTAGGCAAGTGCCAGCTGTACAAGGCATCTGTTCTTTTTCTTCTATTCCTGCACTGTAACAGTCAAATAGAAGAAGATACAAGACCCTGAGTAATTTGGATATTTTTTTAACACCAACATTTTGAAGTCATTGGTGAATTCGTGTCCATTACCTTTGAAGAAGTTGTTGATATCTCTGCATTAAGCAGCTATTTTAGCAATTAGCATACATATGAAAATTTGTCAATAATCTGTGGGAGTAATTTGCAAGAATTTTATTTGTATCAGACAGACGTCATGTTATTACCAGGCTGCAAAAATCAGTGTTTTCACGTTCCTGTCTTAATCATTCCCCTTTTTATAATCATCACTGGTACACTGAAGTGTGATTGGAGCCCTTCTCATAAACGAGACATGCATGAACCTTGAGTCCTTCAGCTTTCTCAGAAGAAAAGCTTCTTGGCTAGAAGTCTCCTTGCTTTATTTTCTCTCCAACAATGGTGGTTCATTGGCGTAGGCTAAGATAGGCCATTGACTAGTGTATTTCAGGCACGTTTACTTACAATGTCTGTATGATCCTCTGATGAAATGAATATTCATGACTATTCCTGACATGGAGCAAGATGCTGTAACTTTAGTTTTGTACAATTCTGAGGTTTCAAGAACTTCCGATTGTTGAGAGATGCTTTTGCAAGTTTGTGGGGCTCCGTCTTGCAGTCTGTAGTCGTTTTGGTTGTGTTCTGTGGTAGTTAGGATACTTCTGGTTTTGTAGCTGAAGTTTAAATGTATTGATTTCACTAAATGTTATTTTTCATTCTCATCGGTGGTTCTCATTTTTAGTATTTGATTGTGTATGTATTTGATAAGTCAGTGAAGAAAATTATTAAGAACAAAGCATTATGCTTAACTGAATTTTTCTAGAGACCCTGCAAAAGACTCCAGGATGTTTATCCATAATGATGCTTTGTCTTACTGAACACAGTAAATTTTTGTATATTTAAATGGGGCATCTTGCTTAGTCTAAGTCTTCCTGCTATGTGGTAACATAGGAGAATAATGAAATAATGTATGTGGTATCAATGTTATGGAAGAAGGGGAACACATTCATCCTCTGTTTTTGATCTTGGCGGATTTGGGTTCAAGTTCTTCTTAAATAGCGAGTTAAAAGAAGTTGAGATGTCTAGCTTTTAAAAGCTATATCCAGGACTCAGTCGAGATCTTTAAGAATGTAAAGGGGACACTGTTATTGAGTCTGACTTCCGCTGCTAGATGGGCCATAGAAATCCCTGAATTCCCTGTTCCAAGAAGATTGGGAGTTGGGAGTGCTTCAGTGGAGGTCATAAAGTGTCAGAAAAAGCTGCATTGTGCTGCAGCTCTGTGGTGGCAAGACAGTTCCAGCTTTTGCAGCCCTATTGCACATCTCTTATTGCTCAATTCATGTGCTCCTTCTTCCTTTCTTGCTTCCAAGACCTTTCAGTGAACTAACCTTGGGGAGAATTCCCTCTAGAGGAGAAAGAAAGGATGAAGTGTTATTTTTCTATTGATTTAATACGCTAAAATGGGTCAGTATAGAATCCGTTGCGTATCAGAGGCTGGGTAAGGCAAGTACACAGAACCACTGAGCCTGAGCTTTTGATGTCACTGAAATGGAGGAGGGAAGGATACCTCTTACTACTGCTTGTGAGTAGTCTAGGCTAATCAAGGTACTCTCATTATTCTTTAAGTGCTATGACAGAGAAATGAATCCTTATATCTGTGTCTGTAGTCCTCATTCTCCGGTTGTAGAAGAACTGATCTTCCTGCTAGCCGAGGAGATACAAAGGAGGGTAAACCTTTCCACCTTTGAAAAGATTGCCAAGGAAAAAGCAAGCGCTTGTGCTTCCACCCTTTTGTGTCATAGATGGTGGGTAAAGCACTTAGCCAAAAAATGGGACTTACCTGGGAAAGAATCGTTGGCTGTCTGAAGACTCACAGTAATGCTGTCTGCGCTGCCAGGAATACAATCATTATGGAACAAGAAAGGACTACAAGTGTGACTTTTTCTGGCTGTTGCTGTTTGTTTCTGCTGATTAGGTCCTAGGACCATGCTCAAATGTATTTGACCTTGTCTTTGTCTTTGACTTTGTGTTTGTTTCAGAAAGTAATAATTAAAAAAGAGAGACAAACCAAACGGACCAAACATGTATATTATTTTCTTATCATGGATTGCAGTGCGCTATGGAATTAAAAGAAAGATAACATCTGGAAAGAGGACTTTTGAATTGGAGCTAGGTAGAATTTCGGAGTACTTCTCACATAGTCCATGCTACTGCTTGATTATTAGCACTTGAACTCAAGTTATTGGTGTTTAGCCAGTGTGGTTTAAAAAAGCGTTGGTAGAATGTTCTTACCATGATCAGCCAAAAGGAAGGTATGGCATGATGGTTATTATTCATTTGAGTGACAGGATTATTACCCATAATTTTGTTGGTGCAATACGTGTTAGAAGGTACATACTCATGGGTTGTAGCCATGTAGTTAGCTCTATGTCAGGTCAAAACAGAACTGTTCAGCATAGGCTTATATGGAAATAGTAATTGGTATCAATTATGCTAATATACTTTTACCTGTATCAACTTCTGTGATTTCTGTTTTGAAATAACAACCTGTGGATGCTTTTATCAAAATAATAATTTCCTGTAGGTAATAAATGTACTTAAATGGAGAAAAGTTTGTACGTAGACCTTGCTGTGGCTTTCTGTGTTTTCTAGCAGCAATGACCTTCTGATGTAAAGTAACTAGGCTTGAGTCTCACTGTTTTAAAAGTGTTTTTGAAGGGCCTTTGAAGTGCTTAAAAGTAATAAATAGCACCCTCTAGTTATTAGCCTAGGTATGCGCCTAGAAAAATGTGTATTTTGGGAAGAATTTCGGTAGGCAAAATGTCAAAACTTGATTTTTTTTTTCCCTGTTATTTCTTTTACAGTTCTCTTTCTGTGCATATATTGTATATTGTTTCTCTGCTGTGTACTTATCGTATGTACCACTTTATTATCTTGAGGCATTTGAGGTAAACAGTTGGCATTTGTACTCCAGTTCTCCAGAAAATTCTCAAGCAGCTTGAGCAGATCCAAAAGACAAGCGAGTGTTGTGTCAGGAATTGTGTTAAACTCTGTAAAATAAAACAGATATGGGCAAGGGGAAACACCCTCTTTTACCAATACTTAGTATGTGTTTGTACAGCTGGCAATTTGTGCTCCTTCATATTCGTTGACCTAGAAGTAGCCAACATTTTAATGCGTTCTTGGAGGGGAAAAAAGGTGTTATGGAAAAGAACTGCCACATCAAAGCCTCTCCTCAGCTTGTAAAATGGTTTCCACCACTACCTTCCTCAGCCCTATCGGAACACTCAGCACTTTCTCCCTCTCAAAAGAAAGCAAGCCTTTTTATTAAGAAATGGCCTTAGAGTTTTATTTATATTAAAATGATAAAAGTGACACAAAGCAGTTGAAAAGATCCTTCTAGTTCAAACAAAAGTCCATCAGAGATGTAAATTCTGTGTAATGTGTCTGTATCAAATCAAGTCATATGATTCAGCTGTTGCAGCGAGTGCAGTAAGTACTCCCTTTAGGAAAGTGTTACTCTGTGGAATGTATTTTTAAATAACTAGAAAGTAGTCTGAAGCTTGATGCCTGTTAAATGACGTGTATTTTGCTGGTCAGATCTGCTGTTCTGAAGCCTTATTTGTGACAAAGGAAACCAAGTAGTTGATAATTAGTTGCACAATAGAGATTCTTGACCATTGTGGATATAATTTGATTTTAATTGTCTTTCCTTTAATGTACAAGGCTTATATTGGCCCTTTGTTCTCCAGCATTCTGCTCAGATTGCTGGATTTTTCATTTAGCATGCTAAATGATATAGGGAGCTTGAAATAGTTAAAAAATAATTTAACAAAAAATTTCTTCTTTCCATTAAAATATTTTTTTTATTCATTTTAGCACAAGCCCGCCTTACTGCTGTGTAGACCTTTATTCTTTGCGAACAGGAGAGATGGTTAAGTCCATACAGTTCAAAACTCCTATTTATGATCTGCATTGCAATAAAAGGTAAGGATGTTTGCTATACATTCTTTCTGTGTTAGGGCATGTGAAATTTTTGTAATGAATACAGTTTCTGGTATATGCGCTCCCTGACTTGATTATTTTGACTTTCCTGTAACCATAGCTTTGGTTCTTCATTTCTCAAGTACTGTTTCAGTTTGAATACGGCAATATGCTTCTCCAGTGGCTTTCATTTAAGAAGTTCAAAACATTTTGCATCTGAAATCATTTAATCTTTTTTCAGTTGTGCTGAGGGTGAGTAGGAATCATTGGAATCCTCTATCATCCACCTACAGATGGAGAAATGGGATCATCGAGAGTCTAAACAGTATAGAGCACTCGAGAGAGTGTCTCTTTCCTTGCGTTCCTTTGTTCTGTCATACATCGCCTCCCTGCACATCCAAGAAATTCCTAGCATGCAGTCTGTGGTTTACAGGAAATAATGTTCCTGTGAGTCAAATAACATAGCAGCACCTCTTAGATGGGATAATGTCACCTAATTTCTGAGAGAAAATGGCTTAGAAGGCTGAGCATTGTAGAGTTTGAATAGAATTGGATCTATTGTTTTCCATAGAATCGTGAGTTCAAATTTTTGCTAATTAACTTTAGATCTTCATCTCTCCAAGACATGCAAAACTGAAGACCCTTGTAGTTTACCGCATCTTTTTAAGACAGAAGAGAAAACCCAGGATCTCTACATGAGGATCTTGATAATCCCTTGGCACTCCCGGTGAGGGAATTCGATGCAGTGACTTTGGTCATAGTCCATGATTGTGCTGCTTACTTTAAGGCTTCCTTCCACCCAGCTATTACTGTTATTAGTTCTTGTATGTCTTTAGGTACCTTATGGAAGTTGTGGAGTATGATTCCTGTGTTAAAGGTAGAGCACTGAATGAAGAAATTACTGCATTTCTTTGGGAGTATCTATTTGTTGGCTGGAATTGATGGCCCTTCAGTAGGGAAGGTGGCATAATAACATGAATCAGTAAAACAAAACAAAGTGTCGGATGCATATGTTTTATCTGCCTGATTGGTATGGCAGTAGGTAGCATGCTTGTGTAAGTGAAGATCAGAAAAGAATATGAGCATGTGTTGTACTCGTGCAACTAAGAGAAGTTAGCCGTGTTGGAGATTGGATGGCGGGGAGGGGGGAACCCAACCAAAACCACCCACAACCCTAGAAGCCACAAGGGTTTTGTTAAACAGACATCTGTCTGTCATTGTACTATCAAAATCGAAATGTTAATGACTATATTGGGTCAAGTACTACTTTTCTTCTGTAACTTCTACTGAACAAACACGTTTAGTACCACAGCTAATGTAATAATGAGGAGGATATTTTGATGGTGTGAATGTTTAAAGGGGATGGAGGTTTTTGTTATCCCCATCAGTCTGCTTATTGTAGGATGTGGGTATGATTGTTACATCAAAAAATACTTTTGCTGAAGTGGTTGAGTTGGTGAGAGTTATGTGCCATGAATAGGTCACTGTTCCTTTAAAAGCTGTCAGAAGGAGTTCAGTACTTATCTGTGCAACTGTCCCTTGAAAAATTTAAAGTTCCCCTGTGTACAGTGTGATGATAGTAAATCTTTCCAGTCTGGCCTCCCAGCAGAAGAAAAATCCAATTGTAAAAACAGTTGAAAGGCAAATCATCATTCAAAGTTTCTCCCAACTAAAAAGTCTTTCCAGGTGCTAATGTTTCTTTTTCTAAGTGGTAAAAATGGAAAAGCTACTTCAAAGCTGTGTGCCTGTATCCAGGGTAGCTGCTTTTCTGGAACATATCAGATTCTGTTGTTATCCAAGCAAAACTCACTATTTCAGATTGAAAATGCATTAAATGTGGCCAAGTGCAGCGCTAATGGTGCGTTAACCGTACTATAGACTAATGGAGTCCAAAATTTGAATTTAAAAGAAAACTTGAGTTGCAGAAGAAGGGAAGACTCTTTATTATTTATGTATTTATACTCTGGAATCATCCATCCAGTAGGTTTCATTTATGCAGAAAGACAGTACATCTTAAGAGTAATAAACAAAAATCTACAGGATTGGGAAATATTGCAATCAAATATACATAGGCTTTCTATATATATTGCACTTGCACATGCATTTGAAGTCTTTCTGTTACTTGTTGGTTAACTTTCTTTCAGGCCTTGTGGAAGATGTTAGAATTGATACATTTTCTTTTGGTTTTCTCTCCTGCAGTTTCAGCAACTGGAAGATGTGTCGTTTAACTAAAACTACTACTTTATCCAAAACTAATATTAATTTATATATGCAGAGTTTATAACTTCTAAAATTTGAGATTTGTAAATCAGAAGGGGGTGGGGAAGCATCTTTTTCACAATGAGAGCACTTTAAGCAAATAAGAAATCCTACATTAATTTCTTCTGTGACTTGACACGTCTGAATCCCTCGTTATGTGTTCTGCCCTTTTCTTTTGGCATGTAAGCTGCTCCCTCTGAAAGTGTGCGTGTGCCACCCATTCTAGGTCTGCAAATCTGTGAATAGGAAAGACATTTGTCCAAAAATGTCCCTTGATTTCTGCCTTCCTTCCAGGAATTTGTACTTCTCCTTGTTTCTAGATAGAGGCTTGCTGATAAACAGAGCAGCAACCAAGTCCCAGGATGAGATGTTGTAAACCAAAGAGTCCTGAAAGAATCAGAGATACAGAACAGTGCTTATTACTTTAATCAGCTTGTGTATCAGGCAGACAGAAAGTGGCTTGTGTTACACCAGCCTGTTGAACAGGCTTCAGGAGTCATCTTGGGAACTACAGATGCGATCCACGTTACTTGGCAAATGTGTTGGTAAAAATAATAGCAGAATCCAAATAGCAGACACATGGATAAATCATGCCTGATGGAGGAGTATTAGTACAGTTTTCTAGGTGGAAATCATGACTCAAAACTTATTTATAGGTCTGAAAACACCAGCAAGCATGTGGGTAAGGTATATGTTTTGATTTCAGACACGTCAGAGTTTTACAGGTATTGAGCTCTCATCAGATAAGAAGGAGGTGTTCATGTAGCTAAACAGCTAAAAGTAGGAAAAGGGAGGAGTTAATGGCTGGTTTTCACAGTAATGGGAGATAAGCATCACCCTTTACCCAGGGATAGGTCTGAGACTGGTGTGATTCATCATCTTTTTGAAGATCATTATTTTATACTGTGATATGCAATCATAACTTTCAGATAAAGCATTGTGTTATAATAGTCATTGAGAGATGTGATTAATTTTTTGCCATGTAATATCTTAACAATTAAAACTATTAGAACAGCATTTAATAATGCTCCATATTGTCAGTTAATTAAAAAAAATACTCTCATAGTCTTCCTAATAAGAGAATAATCAGATTCTTAATTAATTATGTCATATTGCTAAATGTTCCAGAAAGCTGGTAGATTATATCTGTTTCTTTGTTGGCTTCCCAGGTGGTTCTTTCATTTGAAGAGTTTAAGAACTTGGTTTTGGGAAGTCATCGATGTAGGAGATGTATCCTAGTTAGAAGGCTTTCAAGATGCTTCACTTTCCAGATTTGCATTGTTGGCCTCTTATTTATTTAGACAGTCCCATGTTTCGTGTGTCGTTACCGTGTGACTTTTGTTCTTTGTTTCAAGTAATAAGCAAGTATTTTAGAATAAGTGTGTACATGTACAAGTGGATACATAAACATACACCTGTAGTTTTGCTAATTGACACAAATTCTGCTTCTCTCAACTGTATTTGGGTGCTGATGTTCTTGGTTTAAAAGAAAAAAACAACCCCTGCTTTTAGTAAATAAACTGGTTTAATAAATCTGCAATGAGATGGGCAATGGGATTATTTCAAATTTAGCTTGTGTTCTACTGATTGTTGATTTGATTGTTATTTGAGTCATTGAAAGTAATTCAGGATCCTTGCGATTCCATTCTTTCTTTTTAATGGAGCTTTTACTGCAGGAGGTATATCATAAATATGCCGTGTTGTTCTGTATCAGATCTGTGTACTTCCTGAAATGAAGGTTATGTGGTTGGGATGAGAGAGAATCCTCAATAACTGCCACGTATTGGTAACCTGGCAGTTTATCACTGTAGAATTTATATTGATGCTTTTGAAATAATTACATTTAGATATTGAATCTGTAAACCAATGCATTTAATGTTTAAAGTACACGTTCCATTTCTGTGTTTTCAGGATACTTGTTGTAGTCCTGCAAGAGAAAATTGCCGCCTTTGACAGCTGTACTTTCACCAAAAAATTCTTCGTTACAAGTACGTATAATAGTTGGATTCAGTCTTCTTGTTCTAGTGGTGGAGTGAGATAAAACAAACTTTTTTGGTTGTATTTTGAAATCCTCTAAGCAGGCATCCATGACTTCATTTGGAATTTTAGGAAATCAAAAAAACCCTAAATGTTACTCTGTGAATCTTGGGCTTGTTTGCAAATTTTTTATTGCTGTGACTGATTTCTCAGTGTTGTGAAGGGCACCTACACTGACATCCGTAGGTAGCTGAAAAATTCTTTCATTTTGCAGAAATACATGCAAAAATTTCAGGTTGTACACATAAGCAGCAGTTTGAAAACACATCGACAGCGACCTGCCTGTGGTTTTTGTACCTTAGGCCCAGGTACATTGTTGGGGTTTTTGTTTGTTTGTTTGTTTTTTAATGTGCCCTGACTTTTGCCAGCCCCAGAGCTCAAGCAGGTCAGTGAAGTGTTGTGTGGAAAAGCTATAGGCAGGTGCCTGCAGGTGCTTCCACATCTATCTTGAGCACGAAGGAGCTGTTTGCTCAGACTCCCCTTTATCCCTCTGAACTCTACAACTGGCCTCTCAGTCGACTGTAACGGGTCAGGTGCTCTCCCAGAGCTGTTCCTCTACGGTAAGTGTCCTTTTGCTGCCTCAACATCTGTAAAGCAGTAATTGATGTGTAGTAGAGAGCACTGGTATGTTTTCTGCTGCTTGTGCTCTGCGCTGTCACATGATGTGGTTAGGATTAGGATGTCATTTACCTGCTCCCAAGGCTGTGTGTGTTGTAATGCTAAACAGCAAGAAAGTAATCGCCCCAGAAAAAATTGTGTTTTTTCAAGCAGATAGTGACCAGTGCTACTGTTTATCAATTAGAATAGCCTCTTAAAATCTGTAAAGTACCGAGGGATTGTAATTTGCTTTGGAAGACTCCGAGTTCTGTGACTAAAAAGGAGAGTCTGAAATTTTCGGGATGTATTTTCAGTCGCAATTCGAGAAGTTCAGAATTAACTTTTTATATTAGCTGTGTATTTAAAGAAAAAAAACTAGTTAGAAGCTGTTTCCTGTAATTGTTTGAAGAGAAGCAGCTTTATGCAGTAATATTAAAGTTGCCAATAGGTGTCAGTTTCCTCCTATCCATGGATGTGAGACGCTGGGCGTCTGCTAGGGTTGGATGAAGAGTCAAAAGGGAGAAGACTTGTTTGCGTCCTTCTGTTCCTTACTCCTTTTTATTCCGCTAAAGAGAATTAGGGTACAAGCCTTGCTTTAGTTTAGATCAAAAGTAGAAAAAACCCCACAACAACAGGAAAAAAACAAACAAACAAACAAGAAAATCCCCTCTAAGTGCATATTTTGACAATTCTTGTGCTTTTCTGATTCCAGCTGTTTGGTTTTTTAAAAAAAAAGATATTGCAATTTGTTTTTAAAAATTAATCCACTGAACTGTATTTTGACGAACAGGGGTATGCTGTTCCTAACCGTAACTTTCGACTTGCAGTGCCTTTTTGTGGAATTTAAAGAGGATAAAATAAAGCTTTTGGAGACATTTACCAAGTTATTTGAAAATCTAAACTCCCAAAATGTCACTATTCATGGTGTATTTCTCCAGCTACGCTGTGTTTTTGAATACGAGACACTCCAGTTGTCCTTAAAATTTGTTCAGGCTTTGGCACCCCAGAACTAGGTTAAAGACACCCCATTTTAGCAAGCTGCGGGACCTGGCAAACAGCTGGAGCTGCTGCCACCGCAGCCCTTCCCCTGTCGCCACCCTGGCTTGCCTGTGGCCAGTGACGGGGTGTGACTGGGCAGACAGACGTGTGTTTTTCTCCTAGATGAATGGGTTTCTTGGACTTGTGCTGGTGAATAGTTGTCCTGAGGATTTTGAAGCTTAGTTGTTTCACTTAATAGCTTATGCTATCAAGCGGGTGTTATGCTCTGGCATGTTGAAGGCTGCAGTAAAGCTTTTGTCTAAGCTTTCAGATTTCGTATGTGCTGAAATCTCTTCGACCTAAGAGTGTATCTTTAAAGGCTTAAGTTACTCTGTGTTTGAAATTTGATGTAAGTGAGCTACCTAGTTAGCTGCATAGATTTTTGATCGTCAGCCAACTGGCCAGCAACAGGGCTCTTTTGTGGCGCTTTTTGTTTCCTTTTTTAATTTAGGAAAGGGCAGTGTCAGTTTAAATTGGAAAAGTAGAAATCCCTGCAAAGGAGGCTTGGCAAAAGGTCTTATAGGCCTCTCTGTTTCCGTTATTTGAGCATCCCTGCTCTGCTGGATGGTCAGCCAGCGTCCCATGTGGACCCATCCTTGGCTGGACAGTGGCAGTAAGAATGTCACTGGCTGCCTAGAGAGTTTTTTTGTGAAGAAGGTTCTCAGCTGCATTACCTGACTGCTTTTGGTAAGAAGCAGTGGCATAAAAAGTCAAAAATGTCAAGCAAGGATCACTAGCTCTTTGAAGACGTTTCTGTTGCATGTAAACCACTGTGTAGAAAATGGAAATCTTTTTTTCAAGAAGATTTGGTGATCTTCAATCACATCTTCCATCTGTATCAGCTGAGTGGTGTGTGAGCCTTAGAACCTCACTGAGACAGCTAAAAAGCAAACGTAATTAAGCAGAAGCTCTTGTCCATTTTGTTGACTGTACACAGAAATTAAATGCAGAATGTACAATTAAAAACAGTGTCAGGAATTCTGAAGTTTGGTGTTCTGCAGCAATGCTAATGCAGCTGTGTTGCACATGAGTAGTAGTTGTCTTTCTGTTTTTGTTTTTGTGGTTGAATGTGTAGCTTAATATATTGTTGTAATAAATATACCATAAAATATTCAGGATGTAGAACATGGTCAAGTTTGTGTTGCTATTGGAATGTTTAACTCCTGCGTTTCCTGATTTTTCTTGAGCAAATTTGACGTAGTACTAACCTTTTTTTTTCCCTGCATGCGATTAGATGGAAATGTGCTGATTTGACTTGAATGGCAGAGTGCCAGCACATATTATTTGTGCCTTTTCTAGCAAAAACTCAGTGTACAGGTGCTCCAGTCTTGGTGTGTGAATTTAAGACAGGGGCTTAAACTTGAAGGGAGAACATACTGTGAATATTGTAGAAAAATTCCCAGGACATCCTGTAATCTACCCTGTGTGGTATTCTTATTTTTAAATGTCTGCTAAGGAAAGGCATAGCATCAGTCTGCAAAGAACTCCTGGCAGTAGCTTCCATACAGCACTTCGTTCTCTGCTGTGCTCGTGCTTGGAGCCAGAATTAAAAACCAAACAGCAATTGCGCATCCTGCACTGTTTTAAGTGCTCACATGGCCAAACGAAAAAAATTAATTTGATGCTTATAATGTGTTTCCTTTGGTAGTAATGAATGGCAAGGTGTAGATTTTAAATAGATTTTTTTTTTTTAATTTAATAGGTAGGAGTTTTATTGTGGTTCATTTAAGATTTCCTTGAGATCTTTTTTCTGAATACTGCGTATGACTGAACTATCAGAAACAAAACTGATGTACAGGCTTTTTTTTTTTCCCCTACTTTGCTCTAAACAATAGATGCAGAAAAGATGAATTTCATTGATTTCTATTACATCAGTGCTCCCTCAACCCTTCTCCAAAAATGCTTACTTAGTGGAACATTGATGATTATGAATATGGCCTGATGGATACTGTCTTCTCTGTAAAGAATATCCTTCCCACCCCCTGGGCCCTAAGTAAAGATTATCACAGATAACATCATGCATGTGGCATCATCTTTGTGTCCGATAACTAGTGCCTGCTCAGTTTCTCTGGCCCTTCCACTCCTCATATTGATATATTCTCCATCCATTATTCTCCAGGGATGAAGACAGTTATTGCAGCCATTAGCTGGCACCACATTTCTATTGATGCTGTACAGCTAAAGCCTTAAGAGGTAATTTTCCAGATTTTAGTCAGAGTACTTTATTGTATATAAAGTCTCAAAAGACTTTCCTAACCACAAGCCAAAAATTATTCAGTATATGTTAAATGCACCCCACCTGTACCTCTCAAAATAAATAAAAACCCCCTAAAACCAAACGGTGTTTGATACTCTAATCTGCAATTTGGATGTGGTATTCCTATTTTCACTGACATTCACATGCAAGAAATAACACGGGGGTTTCAGTTTGTCACAGGTCTGATCTGGAAATCATCTGGGCTTTTTTGTACGTTTTGTTAGCTTTGTTAGAATTCCTTTTCCCTGATCGGCACACAGGGAGCAGTTTGATCTCTTGCTTTGAAGTAAAAACACTGGATGTCTTATGAAAAGGTTTAGTGGCTGAAAAGTTACAAACAGAACTCCTGGGAGAAGGTACGTTTCCCTTCTCAACCGTGATCAGCGAGTGGCATTTATCCTGGATATCCCACATGGTATAATAATTGATAGGATTCCTCAGTCTGTGGAGGGGGGCTCTTCAGTTTAGATCGAAAGCCCTTAAGGCAGGTGGGAAGTGAGCTCCTGATTCACAGTATTTTCCTGATGAGTGAAGAGAAGCCAAATATGTTCCTGTGAATTGTATATAAGTTTTATTTTTATACACACACACACACATAGATATATATATGAACACACCCCCTTTCATGTAATTTGTAGCTGCCTTCCCTGAGAAACGTTGATGTGCTCTTGCTTTTACTTTATTTATAAGAGTCTTTTTTCCTGAATGTGGGAATCAGGGTATCACTATTACAGGATAATGTTGCAATACTTTTCGAAAAGGTCTTAAGGACAATGTGGTAGCTTTATGGAAAGGAATGCCTTCGTGGCTTACAGGGTGTTTTGCTGTATTGCAGGAAAGTGTAAATACAACAGAAAAATTGCGTAAACACAGAAAGCAGGCGTTGGTACCCAAGATGTATATCTATCATATCTCCTGGGTTTGACAGTTTATAAAATTATATGTAGAACAGGAAGTGCTCTTTGTTTCTATGTAAGTTATTTTTATCTAGAGCACCCAAATCCTCAACGTTAAAGGCCAAAACAAAGCCATCTCACTCACATTGTCCTGTACAGAAAC